GGGGGGGGGGGGGGGCGGCGGCTGTTCTACTAAATGAGACGACATTGTCGGGCGGCTGGAAGACCCGCGGCCGAAGCAGGACCATCTCTGGTTCTCGGGCAGCAACACAACAAGCCGAGTCCCCCATGCAAACTATTTTAAAACAAGAAATTATAAGTATAAATTAGAATAATTTATTTAAAAACACTTTTTAAGCGATAAAGTGCTTTATACATACAAAAGATACTTCTTGCTATGAGAAGTTATCACCTAAATGTGGGAATTAAGGGATTATTTGTCCATTAGGTTCAAATTGGGGTAGACACCTATAAAATATACAATGGTTGTATAATCAGTGTGCTATATATGAATTTTATCCTTGTGTGGCAAGTACAAAGATGGTTGGTCACAAAAAACTGGCTCTTTATACCTCAGAAAAGAACCTGTCCCTGATAGACTACTACAGCTGTAGCATCCACCTTTACCTATCTCTTACTATTATTCTCTCTCTGAGCTATTTTGGGCACATTCATGGCTTTAGGTCACAATGTGACTTGACAAAATGTTACCATTTATGGTAAACTTGATAATGAGTGTGTCTAGTAGGGACCTAGTAGAATGTTCAGTAAGATTTTTATTGTTGTTTGTTTAAAAAATTTTTTTGATCTTTATTTATGTTTGAGTGAAAGAGAGAGGGAGGGAGAGAGAGACACACACACACAATGTGAGTGGGGGAGGGGCAGAGAGAGAAGGAGAGGCAGAATCCGGAGCAGGATCCAGGCTCTGGGCTGTCAGCACAGAGCCCGACACGGGGCTCAAATTCACAAACTGCGAGATCATGAACCGAGCCGAAGTTGGACGCTCAACTGACTGAGCCACCCAGTTGCCCCGTTGTTGTTTGTTTAAAAAAAAAAAATTGAAATTTTACAGACTGAGTTCTCATTGTTTTTCCTGCACATTGAAGAGATTTAAAGAGAGCCATTAGGATTTTTCATTTCCTTTGGCTAACTTCCTCAGTGTACCTCTTACACCCTTGTTTCTTAGGGTGTAAGTGAGGGGAATTAACATGGGACTAACTGCTCCATAAAATATTGAGAAGTCGTGGTCCCTGAGTTCGAGCCCCGCATCGGGCTCTGTGCTGACAGCTGAGAGCCTGGAGCCTGTTTCAGATTCTGTGTCTCCCTCTCTCTGACCCTCCGCCGTTCATGCTCTGTCTCTCTCTGTCTCAAAAATAAATAAACGTTAAAAAAAATTAAAAAAAATATTGAGACGAATTTGTCCTCTTCCTGAGATTTCTTTGAGGTTTCAGGTACATGTAGATGGCTATACCATTAAATATGTTGACCACAGTTAGATAAGGTCCACAGATGAAGAAAGATTTGAGGCTGCCTCTACAGAATGGATCCTCAGCACGATAACCACAATGTGGAAGTAGGAAATAAGGATGATAGTGAAAGGCAAGGTCAATATGAACACACTGATAACCAGACCCAGAATCAGACTGACAGGAGTGTCTGAGCAGATGAGCTTCAGCGGGGCCTGGATCTCACAGGTAAAATGGCTGATGGCATTCTGTCCATAATAACAAGCAGGAATTGCAATGAATGGTAAGACTGCTACTAAGAATGCACTTGCCCAGGTTCCCAAGGCCAACTGTACGCAAACTTCATTATTCATAATGGTGGTGTAATGCAGGGGATTGGAGATTGCAACAAACCTGTCATAAACCATGACAGCATGGAAGAGACATTCTGTCATCCCTGGAAAGAGGGATGTGGTCATCTGGGCATAACAGCTGGTATAGAAAATAATGGGGAAGTCCCTGAAGCATTGGGCCAAGACATATGGTTCCCAGCTGGTGGAGTAACAGATATCAAGGAAGGATAAATTACTGAGGAAAAAAATACATGGGGATATGAAGTTGAGAATCCCATCACACTACAACAATAAAGTTATTCCCAAACATTGTGACCAGGTAGAAAAACAGTCCCAACAAGGGAGCCTGGGTTTGAGGTTACTGGAAAAATTTAACGAGGATGAATTCAGTCACCTCAGAGGCATTGTCTGTCTTTAGACTGCCCATTTAGTCATCTCAAGTACTGGGAAAGTTAAAATGTAATGTAACCTATATTAGGAAATAAGAGGAATAGCATCTCAGTAGCCTGTTAGAGTTCATGCTCTAGACTTCAGATTAATTGTTATGTGTCATTTGTTTTACTGAGTTAGACTCAGCTGCTCAAGTATCCAATGATGAAAATACAGGTTCTCTTCGTTTTCCTATCTTATGGAACCTTGTGAGGTTAAGTTGTTTGGACTGTGTTAGATCCCCATTAGAGGTACTTACACTTGATCAAGTAAGACCATCATTGAGTTAAACAGAATTCTTTCTTTCATAAAGGGTCATAGCTAGATGACTGCCTTTATTCTTGACCAGAAAAAAAAGAGGCAAGTATCTACATCTCCCCACCAAAAATGCACATTTATAGACAGCTTTATTTAAGTTCGCTCACTGATTAACAAATAATTTTTAACTTTAAGCTCAATGATATAATTGTGAATGCTTGAAATGCTTATTTGCTTTTCAACTCTTTTTTTTTTTTTTGCTTCTTACATGTCATATTAAAACCACATATGGATGGTAAATTAGAAAGTGTAGGGGCGCCTGGGTGGCGCAGTCGGTTAAGC